GTATATGTATATAATATATCTATAATATATAATAATATATTAGGATTAAAAATAGCCATATATTATGTATTAGTACATTATGATTATTATGGGAAATGGCATGAGATTGATCATATAGTGGGGCAGCAATAACTAGTTAATTAAAGTGAAGGGATGTTGTGTTAAACGTCATCAGTGAAGAGTCTCGAAGAAACGCTTACTGTAACTGCTTATATAGGAAGTGTGCGGAGACTATGAGATGCTGAAATAGTGACGTTTTTAGTCCCTCAGCCAGTCTTTTTTGATGATATCGATGCCAGAAGCCTATTAAAATTTCGCATTAATAATGACCTTGTATGAAATTAGACATATGTCCTTTTTGATTCAATTACTTGCACTTCTACATTGCTGATTCAAAAATGATCAAGTAAGCTGAGAAAAGCCACGAGTTGCCCATTGAAACGTCTAATTATGTTTGGATGCTGAAATCGAGGAGAACAATAGAACAATTCTTTGAGCCATATTGATGGTCCTATTTGTAACTAAGTCTCATATACATAAAAATATTGAGAAAATTTGATATCTATTGAAAATTTTATTTGTAACTCCTACTTGAATCTACACGCTTGTCAGATTTGTCTTACTCTGTATCAGAAGACGGATATCATTTATCCCACTATATATCCATGAAAAACTATTGTGTCCTTTTGAAAGTCCTTTAGAAACGCGACGTAATATTTTGTGGAATATGATCAGTTAGGATTAAACTGGAACGTGTATGAACTTTACCATTAGTCTTCATCAGTATAATTAATTAGGTCTTCACACGCTCTCTGTGAAATAAAAACATTCATAAAATTGTCAACAAACAACCAATCTCCTTGTTGTACGTTGTCTACAAGATTTTCACACGAGTCGTCCTAGAAGGATAAGCAGAACATTAGACACGGCTCAGTACAATGCACTATATTCACACAATCGTCAGACTCATAGAAATACCACAAGAGTATAAAAAACCAATGTTCATCGGCCTCAAAAAGCTTCCGACTCCGTTAAGACAGAAGTGTTCTTGTATTACTCAAATGAGTGCAAAGTTTAGATTTAGGTCAAGAATCAAAATCAAGGATGTGACTGTACACTTTAAGATATTGAAAGACTGGGTGAGCCGAGACTGGTAAACACGATTCGTAAGCGATTGGATGATTATGAGATGTCCCCACTATTTTCCTAGAAAAAGAATATGGTGCTGAGGGAATATTCAGAGCGACAAGTACTCTAAACTATACTTGTGATCCATTGCGAGAAATAGAAGTCTTACTGGTGCTTGCTCAACTCTGTCGATGATCATTGGAGATCAAGGCGATTGCGCGTTCATAATGAAGAAGTAGCTTAAGTTTCATCGTAGAACGTTTATTACTCTAATTAGATTTTTAATCAAGCTCTTCAATATTTATCCACTATATTATTTTGTGCCTAAATATAACTAGCGTTTAAGAATGTTTATGTTTTGTGTTTATGAATGCTGTTTCTGCTGATTTGAATTCTTCAACTCCTTCCAGGCTACTAATTTAGTTGATCGAATTTGTAATGTGTTTGATAGCCATTGTAAACTCGAGCTTTTTCCTTATGTTTTACACATTTTATTTATGATTACTTTCAAGCATAACCTATCATGACGTGAAGGATGATCGGTTATTCATTTGCGTTCTGAGCAAGACTTCTAAAGCCAGCATTTTTCGTGCTTAAATATTACCATAATTTTCATCTAGTTATGTAAATTTCACTGTTTAATACATACGGAGCAAACTCGCGTGAGATACGATGTTCAATGAAACGCGTACATATAGGAAGGTTGGCGCGGCAGCCTGAAACGAGGTTGTCCTGAAGGAAGTGTTGGGGGTTACGCACAGGTCCTTTCGTGACCTAGTCAATCCCCGGGAAGGTCTGAGAAAAGGTCATGTTCCGTGTGTTAGGTGTGGAACATGGGCTCGAGAAGGGCCTCGCTTGTGAGAGCGGGAGGCTGTAACAGAAACATCACCCCGAGGGGTTTGAACCACAGTCTCGATCGGCGCGGCTGAGTGCGATTGCTCTCCGAACACAATTCAGACTACTCTCAGGACAACCAATTTTTAAACTTGTGCTATTTGAGTGACTAGGAAGCGGTCACTCGTTCTACGTTGATGTGTTTGAAATGAAAAATTTTTATCTCTACCTCTATTCTTAAAAATTTAGTTTTTTAATATAACGAGTTTTACACTCTCATTTAATGGAAAGTTTCATTTAAGTGATATTAACGAATGACAACCCGTTTTGGACAATTGTGACATCTTTCAATGCAGTTGAACTTAAGCAAGCAATCAGTAAAGTAGAACGATTTGTGAGGCCGTTCATGGTGAGTTGTAAGCATTCGATTATTCTAGCTGTGGAGGAATAAGCATTATTGAATCGAGGTTCAATATACAATATAAAAACGGTATTTTGTACAGAATGAGTATGCGGGACATCAAAACTCTGATTTAGTTTGTCAAAGTTTTTTTTTTTCAAATTTATTCCCACCGTATTAGTGTAGGCTTATTCGAATTATTGATATTAAAAAAAATTAAAAATTACTATAACGATAACTCGATCCAAGATCAAATCTAGGAACTAATTTGAATATTCTGTCTAGTTCCAAACGTCTACTATATTCTAAAATATTTTTATAGATGATGTATTCAATATTGTTCCATTAATAGAATATCATGGCGTTATGATGAGTGTAATACTTCATGTCGTTTGTTTGTTGATTGATGCGTAGTTTTTTTTTCTTCTGTATTCTAATTTTTGGTTATGTTGTTTTGAAACTCGTGAGGTTGAGTTAAATAGAGTCAAATAACGCATAAGTGAAAGAATGCCACCCATGCCACGTAGCTGTCGTTAATTGAGATTAAATGATATGCAACATAATGATTGCTAATGAAATAGACTGGTCAAATATGTTCTCCTATTTACCAACAGTTCGATGACTATGCTTGATGATGGGAAAACGAATGCTCCTAGTCACAAGTAATAACTCAATAATTCTTCCCAGATCGTACCCGTTAGCGGGCGAGTGCTGATAACGGTACCCACTTACGATAAGTGAAGCATTGAGTGGTCGCAGAGCAAGGGCTTCGGTAGTGTAATGGATCAGCACGGCAGACCGTATATCTGTAAGTGCGGGTTCGAGTCCCGCCTGACGTTGCGGGTTTTGCGGCCATCTCAGCACAACTGTAGACAATATAATATCATTGCGAAATAAAATAAAATTACGAATAACTCAATGATTGCTAATGAGTTAATTTCCTAATTACTTATAAGGCTAGAAGTTATAGTTTTACAAAAAGCATCAGAATAACATTATGCTATCTTAAGGATGCTCTCTGCAATTTTCTGTTCTCAAAGGGGGCGGAGGGGTGGGGAAGTGGGAGTTATAATCCTATGTAATTTTTTGTTGCAGTTCGTCTTACCGGAAATGCTGGCGGAATGCGTACTTATAACTAGGCCTATAAACGAGCTACATGCCGTTCTTCTGGCAAAGCTGCATCAGCTTTCTGAAATGAGGGTGTGTTTTTTTTTCTCCAACTTATAAAAAAATATTAATATTCAAAACGACCGATTTTAGCGTAAAATGGATTTGTAATGTTTGGATAGATCATGGTAATAAATGTTTTTCGAAAGATCTAATTAAAAACCCATTTATATTTTTCTTAAGAATCGAACTGAATGGGATGCTCAATGCGCTATTTATTGGCAAGAGTTCGGTCTTCCAGCAAGTAGTCAAATTGTTATGCTAACTGAGGTCTTTTAGTTTTTGTTTATTCGTTCTTTATAAGCAGATTAATTTTTGTAGTTTTTGAACTTCTAAGCCTAAATTCTACTCATTTTTCCACCGTTCATCTAAAGGTTTTCAAATTTTGTTGCTTAGATCCTTCCATTGTCTAGGATACCTCTAGTGGATAAGTAAATAGAATAAGTTTCCTTACAGCTTTTTTTTTGTAAAGCTTATCTATGTTTTACAGTAAACTTCTACATTAATTTCTCTAAATATTCACCTTGCTACCGGAACGCCGGCTTATATCGTTTGAAATATCAGAAAAATAAAAAAAAGTACTAACAACGACCCGGTTTTTCGATGTCTAGGCTGTGAAAGTTCAAGCTGAGTGTATCTCGTCCAGAATGCTGTCTCATGATGCTGCTGATATGCCAGGTGATGAACGTCAGTTAAGGTCTATGAAAAAGCTGTTCAAGATGAACGCAGATGCTGACCTACTAAAGAAGCCAGGAGGACTTGCTTTCGCCGCTCAGGTCTTGTTTTAATGGATGCTTACTTTCAATTTAGAAGATATCCTTGTTATTCCAAGAGAATAGGAATGTTAATGTAATATTATAGAGGTCATTGAGTGAGAACGTGGTCTATACATTTACTTGAGCTGATCATTCCTCACCAAGTTAGTGAGGTTCATCTCACTCAGATTTTTCTGGTGCCATTATACCGAACCCAGAGGGATGGCGTTGTTGGTATTCCTGAGGAGCGGCCGCGAAATGATCCGGGCCGGCGTGTCGCCGTGACGCGTCCACCACTGCGCCACTGCTTCCCTAATTGAATTAGCCTCTTAGTGCAAAGAATTCACAAATTGACTAAAATAAGTGGATTTAACGAGATTTTTGAGTTGTTATACTCAGATGTAGTTAGTGATGTAATGAATGAATTGATTTTTTTTTTCATTTACATTCGTAATAGATTTACCAAAATTATTAAGGTGAGCAATAATATTATTGGTGGCTTTGATGGTTTTGACATGGGTTTAATATTTTCACAGTCACTTTTGTTACCATTAAGCTTGATTACCTCAAGCACTAGCTATAGAGTATCAACATAGGACTCTTCTCATTGAAAGGATCTATGTGAAATCGAGATTCTGTGGACATTTGAAAAATTTAGAGTTTTCCAAAATTCAAAGCAATTAAATTTTCTTTCTGCTTAAGACGTTCGCTCGAGCTCTCAACGCTGAAGATTGGGACTTTATCACAGCAGAAGTGAAGTGAGTTTTAATTATTTTGATTTTAATTAAGCGTTTTCAATTTCAATTTTCGAGTATCTTTTGCTAATAATTTTTAATCATTTAGTTAACGTTGAATTTCGAATGAAATTACGATTCCTTTAATTTCAGATTTCCTTCAGTCACTACAACGATGGCGCAACTACTTGCAGCATATCTGATGAGCTCAGCTCCAGGGAAGGATGTCAGCCAACTTCGGAAGGTCTGTGACACCCTCAATGCGCATGTCAGTCCATTTTTTGAACAAGTAAAGTGAGTTGCTTCATAATGTTAATTTTATTATTGCATCGCATAGAATGAACTGCTTTTTCGAGTTAGGTAAGTTTTGAAATCGGCTCAAAATAAATTTGGGAGTTTTCAAAATTTTTATATAGTGGATAATATGATCAGAGAGCAATATCTAGTTGTAGCTTTTTCATAAATAATTGTGAAAAGTTCTAACTGTTTACAATCGAATTACCATATCCATCGTAATTGATTTACATATAGTTAATCTACGAAGTTTTAATTCATTTGTTTATGACTGGACCTCAATTTGACTTAAATACTGCTGTTATTTTGTGAATTCAAAAATGTCCTCTTAGCGTAATTATTGCACTCATATTTATTATCAGCATGACCATTATCAGCTTATATTGGGGAGTTTCTCTGGTGTTTTTCAACATTTTTTCTCTCCATTATTTGGTAGAAACAAAGGCAAAGTGATTCTAGTCGAAATGGACGTCGTGATATGAATCGTTCACGAGATAGAGACGATCGTGATCGTTCTGCCAGTGTCATTGAATTGACAAAATTCCTCAAATTAATTCGGGTAAGGCTTTTATTCGATTAACAAGAAACTGATCTTGGCTTTTTCTGTTATACAAAATTTCTCTGAGGGAAAGACTATGTCAAGAACATTTTTTCACATTTTATGACATTAGCAAAGTACAGTTTTTCAGTACAATTGATAATGATTTGCCAGATCATTGTATTATGGAAAAAGCCTTAATTATTTGAGTTTAGTACAGATATGATTACTATTCATGTAATCGCTTTCATTTACCTGTTTATCCGATCTGTTTTCAGAATGAATCATTGCTTTCATTACTCATCACCTATTTTGGTTATTTATTTAATCGAGCGCTTTTGTCGAAAAAGCGACCACATTTACGGATGTCGTTACCTCTTGGAGAGATATTCGGGCACGAAACAGAGTACGTCGACTCACCTTTCGATATTGTAATATATCGCTCTTATAATTATATTTAATCAATGCTTTTAACACTTATAGAAGTTCCTTTTTCATGTGCAAATTGTAATTGTACTACTCAGTTCTACGCAGTTTGTGATGGAAGACACCTTGTCACAATGCTCTTCCTTTACAAGCAGAAATAGATTTCTTAATTCATTTACCTAGGCAGTCTTTTTAACGTATCCGTTCTGATCAAATACAACTTTGGCTTTTTTCATTAATAAACAGATTTTACTAAACCCTACACATTCCTTCTTTTTTTTCTCTTGCGTTTATTTATAGATTCAACAATCTGAATTTCCTTGCTGTGCAAGAGTTGCTTGAAATTTTCATCCGTAATGCGCTCATCATTAATCCTACACATTCACTATGGCTGAAGTCGGCAGCGGATTTCCGTTACGGTAGTGTTAATATGAACTTTTATATCAATCCGAGAAATCAATGAAAGTCTCATGAAACAACAAATTATGAATTTCTTGTTTGATTGTCAAAATAATATATATCAGGAAGGGGTCTTCTTAATGAAGCCAGCATTTTGTATATGGAATATTTACTATCGACAAGGCAACCATTGCTTGTGGGTAATCAAGAAGCTCAGCCGGAAGATGTAGTTAGTCTGATTTTGTTTTAGTTTTTTAAAAAATTTAATTGGTTGAGATAAAGCTAGTACATGAAAGCATACTTATTATAACACATTTTTTGGTTTTTTGTACCACACCTTTGAATTATAGAAAAATAAGGTCAAAGGTGACAGAATAGATTTCATTTCATTGCGCATCGTAAATATGTTTTATCCAATAAAAATTTT